GTCACCCGGACAGCCAACAGCACACACTGCTAAATCTAACGGACAAATGATACACGCGTGAACTGCGCGAATTTAATTAATTTCAGAAGTAACTAAACGAGGAAAGTGAGCCAAGTGACGTTTGAAATTTTACATTGGCTGGTCTCTAACACGTTTAATCGCGGAGTCTAAAGGATGAAACCTTGCCATCGACTTGGTAATTCAAAAACAATGCGAGTCAAATTGCCCTATCAAATTGACGATTTTTTCGCTAAACGAATTTTACACGTATATCGTTATGAATCAGCACCTCCTATAGCGCGCGTGCGACCCATGTTCCATTTATCCATTTGCTTCTGCTCTTTGTCCAAAACACCTCGCACGTGGCGCAGCAGGGGCGCAGAGGCCGCCAGCTTTCCTCGGCCGCCGCCGGCAGCGGCGGGGGCGTCCCTTTCGCCGCTCGCAGGGGTCGCCATCGCCCGTGCCTAGGCCGCGCGTGGCCGGTGACACAGAATCGCGCCTGCCCATGGAAAAGCTCATCAACTTGTCCGACGTGTGCGATGTATGTCAGCCCTTGGAGCTAAGTTCTCCTCCCGAAGAATGGGGTTCATAAGGACGTTATATCTTCTTAAGGTGCAGAAAGTTCCTGCTGAATTCAAATTCACGAACTTCGGAATGATCATCCTGTAAAGATTCTTTGTATTATAGATAGATATGATTATTTAGTTTATTAACTTCCTGTTGTACTTTCTGTCATTTTCCTCTTTTTCTTATTTTCTTTAAAAAGACTGTAAAACGTTGTGAAGGGGCAAAAAATATGCTTAAACTCGCGAATGAGTGTAAACGACATTTTTTTACTCAAATCAGCAAAGGTATATTGAACAAAAACCCGTTGGAGATGAAAATCACAGATCGTTATTGATTTTATAATACTCCTTAAAAACAAAGTAGTAGCATTCTCCTATTATATTTTTTACTTCACCTGGATACAAAAAGTAATTCAATCTAATAATTCAAAATGTTGGAGATCCGATTTTGGATAAATAGCAAATGAAAATCTATTGTTGCACATGGTTGTCAACTCTTTTAACGTCCCACTGCATGCACGCTCTCGATTATTGTCTCACCATTCTTTCTCGTCCCCATAAGAATTCTCACTGTCATTACAGCAACTACCCCGACTCTGATACCATTACCTCCAACTTCAACTACCTTTATTTTTTTCTGAACCCGACATACACATCAGCAGGTCATCCATTCGCTTTCCTCTCTGGAACTCCAAGTCATCGGAGAGTGTGCTGGCGAGCTCTGACAGCGGACGGGGCGGAGCGGGACGGGACGGGGCTGGGCGGGGAGAGGCGGGAGCGGGCCGGCTTCGGGCGCGTGGGCGGCGAGCAGACGAAGCTGTGTCTGCGCTAACGGTACCCGGCAAGTGGGTTACCTCCGCCAGACGCGCGAATTCGGCGCCAAACAAGGTCAAGACTGCGAACTTGCCGGAGACGTGCAGCACGCCCACGGCCGCCCCGTCCCCCCGCCCCCTTCCCCGTCTGCACGCCGGAACCTCCGCGCCTTTCGCACGCTGCAATCGGCACCATCACCAGCTGCGCCCCTCCCCTGCCCGCTCCCAGCCCTCGCCATCGCCTCTGCCTCCGCCTCGGTCTTCATCTGCCGACTCCACGTTCTTTCTGCGTCTTCCTCTTGCCTTCTTCTTCCTCGCCCCTGCCCTTGCTCTTGTCTTTGCCTTCGTCCTGCTCTTTTCCTCGCCCTCGTTCTTGCCCTTGCCCTCTATCTTGCCCTTGCCCTCGTTCTTGCCCTTGCCCTCGTTCTTGCCCTTGCCCCTCATTCTTGCCCTTGCCCCTCATTCTTGCCCTTGCGCTCGTTCATGCCCTGGCCCTCGTTCTTGCCCTTTGCCCGCGTTCTTGCCCTTGCCCTCGTTCTTGCCTTGCCTCGTTCTTGCCCTCGTTCATGCCTCGTTCTTGCCCTTGCCCTCGTGTTGCCCATGCCTTCGTGCCCTTGCACTCGGTTGCCTTTGCCCTCGTTCTTTCTTTTACATTCAGTCCATTCTGGTCTACTTCCTCGTCTCACTCTAGCGGCCACCTTTTTTTCCCCAGAACAACTACTCTCATTCTCAGCCCTTTTGCCACGACCCTCGCCGTGATTTTCGCAATCTCCATCGCTCTCTCGGCCCCCCCCCACTTTCAATGAACATTCCCCGCACCGCATCATCCTGTCAGCGGCGGCCTCTCTCTCTCGTGAACACCCTCCGTGACTGACTCCCTCTCACCTTTACGGGAGCTCATTCCCTCGTCATAATGCGAACTCTCTCACGCCAGCGACCGCACCCACTCACGCGTCAGCGCGCATCCCATAAAGTGTGCTTCCCCGAAACCATCCCCGCGCACTCACGCCTGATCTGCACCACATATGCAGTTCCAGCGTCAGTCCCGTCTCTTCGATTTTCTGTCCGCCCTTGATTCTGCCCACTGACTTCTGATGGTTCTCTGCACTCTGTATTCTC